CGATACGAAGACTGCCACATCCTTCATCATACCCCGCCACCAAAACTGGCGACTCAAATCATGATACATCTTGGTGCCTCCCGGATGCGCCGCAAGGGGTGAATGGTGAAACTCTCGGAGTACCTCATTTCGGCAAGACTCCGGCACAAACAAACTGTCTCGGTATCTCACACTCAGGTCGAGATACACAGACAAACCCTTCTCAACCTTCCCACTGGAGATCTTCTCCAGGAGGGATTCTACCTCAAGGTCACCTCCCTGTGCCTCTAACACTCGAGTCACAAGTGTAGGCTGCGCAACAACAGAAAACAAGGCCGCAGCCTCCACGGATTTGCCCAGAAGCAAATCAAAATCGCCAAGTGCACCCAACATCTCCCATTCCCGGATGGCTATACAAGCTACATCACTAATGGATTTCCTACTAAGGGCATCGGTCACAACATTGGCCTTTCCCGGGTGATAGTGCAACTCAAAGTCATAATCCTCTATGAACTCCATCTATCTTCTCTGCCTCAAATTCAAGTCTCTCTGTGTAAACAGATACTTAAAACTCTTATAGTCTGAGAACACCTCGAACCTCTCACCATAAAGGTAGTGTCTCCAAATCTTTAGGGCAAAGATCACTGCTGCTAACTCTAGGTCATGCATAGGGTAATTCCTCTCATGTGCTTTCAACTGACGTGAGCCATAAGCTACCACTTTTCCCTCTTGCATCAGCACATAACCCAAACCCTCTCGTGAGGCATCACAATAAACCGCATAACCCAAACCTTTCTCCGGAATAATCAAAATCGGAGCGGTGGTCAATCTAACCTTCAACTCTTGGAACGACTTTTCACAAGTCTCACTCCATACAAACTTGACCCCTTTCCGCGTCAATCTAGTCAACGACGAAGCTAGCCTGGAGAAATCTTTTACAAATCAGCGGTAATACCCTGCTAATCCTAGAAAACTGCGGATCTCAAAAACACTCTTAGGCTGTGCCCAATCTTGCACTGCCTCAATCTTGGATGTATCAACAGACACCCCTTCCCCGAAAACTACACGGCCTAAGAACTTGACCTCTCCTAGCTAGAACTCACACTTCCCAAACTTGGCATACAGCCTATGGGCTCTAAGCAACTCAAGCACCACTCTCAAGTGTTCCTCGTGCTCCTCCTCTGAAGGCGAATAAATCAGAATGTCGACCACGAAGACGACCACAAAGCGATCTAGGAATTCCCGGAAGATTCGGTTCATCAAGTCCATAAACACTTCCAGTTCATTGGTGAGCCCAAAAGGCATCACCAGAAACTCATAGTGGCCATACCACGTACGGAATGCCGTCTTCGGAATATCCTCCTCCCTGACCTTCAACTGATGGTAACCCGATCTCAAGTCTGTTTTAGAGAAACAACGGGACCCTTTCAACTGGTCAAACAAATCATCTATACGGGGCATAGGGTACTTATTCTTAACCGTAGCCTGATTCAATTTCCGGTAATCAATACAAAATCTCAAGGCACCATCTTTCCTTTTAGCAAAGAGAGCCGGTGCTTCCCACGGCGAAACACTAGGGCGAATGAAACCCTTATCCAGTAACTCCTGGAGTTGAATCTTCAACTCACTCAACTCGGCTGGGGCAAAACGATAAGGTACCATAGAAATCGGCGTCGTGCCGGGCACTAAATCGATGGAGAAATCAATCTCTCGATGAGGTGGCAAACTAACGAGATCCTCGGGAAAAACATCTGAATACTCACAAACCACTCTCGACAATACAATCTGGGTCTCATCACACTCATCACTCATAAAGCTGGCGAGAAGACCACTAAGCTCACTCCGCCCTCGCGGATCATACACCGATGACAACACACTACCAACTCGATCCCCCAAGAAATGGAAACAATTCCCGCTCAAGGTACATACTGTGACCCTTTGGCGGTAACAATCAATAATGGCCCGGTATGACGATAACCAGTCCATACCCAAAATAACATCAAAACCCGACATAGCCATAACTACAAATGAAAATTGAAGCCGGCGATCGGCGACCTCTATATTGCACCCTCTATACCCTTGTTTCAAAACCAATTCCCCCCCAACAGGTGATACTACACAAATAGAAGATGCTAACTGTGCCAACTCCAGCCCTAAAACAGATGCAAATGCAGCAGATATAAAGGAATGAGATGCACCTGTATCAATCAACACATTGGCAATCGAGTTGCAAAACAAAAAGGTACCTCTCACAATAGATGGAGCCGGTACTAGATCCTACACGGTAACAACATACACACGCCCTGAAGGCCCCTGATCTACCTGCTCACCTTTCAGAGCAAAAGACCGCTGCACAAACTGGGACGACGAAGCTCCCTGATTGGCCCTCGAGGCCTGAACTGACTGAGTCGACTGAAAACTTTGCCTCGATCCAGATGCTCCAGATATGCCACTCAATTGCGGGCAAAACCTCTTCAGGTGCCTCGCTTAACCACACTAGTAGCAAGAAAGCGGCTGACCTCTGCCCTGACTATGGCTCTGAGGTCGAGCCGAAAATGAAGCTGCTCTCTGACATCCTCCCCTCTACGGGCAAGTTGGAGACTTGTAGCCCAGCTTACCACATTTGTAACAGGTGATGTCTCCATGACTACCTCTCCCAGAGCCTGCACTCGGCACTGGAAAGGTCGATCTAGCAACAATACCCTAGGACTACTGAGGATTAGGACCCCTCTGCCTCCTACCGTCCCCCTGACCATCCTGACTCATCTTGGAGCCCCTCTGCCTCTCCTCCTCCTCCTGCATCATAATCTCCATATGGGCCGCAACATCCACAAGGCGCCCATAGTCTCGGGTCATAGAACCCCCGACTCTTATCTTGAGGCCATGCCTAAACTTCCTCTCAAACTCGATACAACGGCGTTCCTCAGACGCCACAAGCTTAGGTGCGAACCTGGATAAGCTAGTAAATGCAGCCTCAAACTCGGCCACTGATAAACTCAGCTGCTTGAGCTGACAAAACTGGTCCCTTAGCTTCTCCCTGACAGCTGGAGATAGAAACTTCTCATGGAAAGCATCTACAAAAGCCTCTCAAGTGCCACCAATACGACTCCTCATATACTTCCACCACTAACCCGCACCCCTCTTAAGCTGGAAAGATGCCAAGGTCACCTTCAAAGCCCCGTCTTCGATGCCAAGCATCTCAAATGTCTTCGTCATCTGCTCCAGCCACTCATCAGCCTTAAGTGGCTTCTTAGGATCCCCAACAAACTCATCCGGATTAGACCGGAAGAACTCCCTTTTCAGAAAGGAAGGCCCTGCATCAACAACCTGGGCTTGAACTAGATTCTCGGCTCTGAGAATGCCTATGGATTCCCTCATAGCTCCTGCTATCTCGCGGGTTAAGGCACCCATGGCCTGCTGACCCACTGGCTCGGCCACATTGGCCTGACTAACACCCTCCTGCTATGCCGGAATATCATCCGGTATAGGCATCTCCTGTCTACCACGCCTACCACGTCCTCGTCATGACATCCTAATAAAGGTAACGAAGAACATTAGCACATTCATAAATGTGCCGAAGCTAAAACACTCGTGTCCTAATGCATGGACAACTGTAATTCATTCCACGTAAGCACATAATCACATAAGCACCTACGAATTTCATTTCTAGATAATGATAGTCCCGAGGCGTTACTAGAGTTCCGGTTAGAAACAGCATTGATCAAGTGCTTTTCCAACAAGACTCACAGAAACCCAAGGATCCAATCAACATCCTAGAAACTAAATCTCATACCCAAATAGTCACATAAACATGTTATCACATAAGTACATAACATTACATCTAAGTCTCTACCAAGCGAGACAAACCCATTGTGATACTAATCACTTCCCACATACCCAAAGTATTCAAACCCGGTATGCTCTGATACCAAGTTGTAATGCCCTCAAAATAAACCCATAAATCATACATTCTTGACATGCTTAGACATAAGAGAATGAAGCATAATTACATTTCATCAAAGTATTCATTACAAAGGTATTACATGTTGACAACAAAAGTAAATACCCTATAGGCCTACAACTTTCAAAGTCAACACTTGATTACAAAAGAAGAGTCCTAACTCTACATAAAATAAGCCATTGGCTTCATATACATGTAATACAACAAAAATAAACAAAAGAGTCTTCAACTCCCACAGCCATCCAAGCTAAGATCTCGGAGGCGGTATAATACCTGAACCTGAAAATGATATCCCATATAGGGTGAGTCAACGCCCAGTAGAGATATGCTAAACATAATATGAGCAATAACTAAAATATTAGCATTTGATAAATGTTTAACTCACATAAATCAATTCATATCCCATTTCAATTACATACAAATGTGTCCATGTTTCATTCCATTTTCCATTTCTTGAGAATTGGAAGCCATAGAGAGAGATATGGAAGTTTGAATGAAGTAGAAAATTGAGTTGAGGGTAAGATCAAATGAGAGGAAATGTCTTATTTATAGTTGAAAAGTAAAAAAATATGACCGTTGAAAAAATATGACCGTTACAAATTTATGGCCGTTGAAAAAATATGACCGTTTAAAAAATACGACCATTGAAAAAATATGATCGTTACAAATTTATGGCCGTTGAAAAAATATGGTCGTTTGAAAGATACGGCAATAGAAAAATGTAACTTTTACAAAAATATAATTATATGTAAAAGAATGAAAAAAATAATAATTTGAAAGAAATTATTATTATTATTTTTTAGATAGGAAAAAAATTAAAGTATAAGAATATTTTAATAGAAGATAGTTAAAATAGATAGTCTTGTTAGAGTATATATTCAAAAAAATAACTAATTAAAATAATAAAGTGAAATTTTGAATAATTATTTTAACTATCCTTACTGGAGATACTCTAAAAATAAGAATCTGGAAAGCCCACTTAGGTCGGGCCGAGTCTAGGCCTGATAAACCGGGCCGGACCATTATTAGGTCCCTATCCGTAGCCAGGCAGTACAAACCGTCAAGTAAACTAATCATTCCATCCTGGAGTACGAAGGAAGTTTGGTAAACATGATAAGTGGCTCCTACAACTGCACCACATCTCGCCTCCCAACTTCCCCCGCAACGGTCGGTGTGGGTCCTACTCCGCCGCTGTCTCAGGGACCACCGGCGCCATCAATAGGACTCTGGAAGAAGAAGAAGATGAAGCTTTCAGTTTCAAGAGCGAGTGCGTCGACGAAAGGTGCGGTGTACACAGAGGCTGAGGCTGAGGAGGAAGGTAAGCTCCAGCTCCAGAAAGGGATTGCTGAGTTCTACGACGAATCATCGGGGTTGTGGGAGAACATATGGGGAGACCACATGCACCACGGCTTCTACGACCCTAACGCCGCCTCTACCACCACCACCGATTCCCTACTTTCCGATCATCGCTCCGCTCAGATCCGTATGATCGAAGAGGCTCTCCGATTCGCCGGTGTTCCAGGTAATTTATTTCTTATTTGATTTGATTTGATTTGATTTGATTTGATTTTTTTTTTTAAATAAACAGAAATTCTTATATTTTCAGTGATTGTTTTGTTCAAACCTGGTGTGCCTCTAACTGGACCATTTTACTGCGTTCTAATCATTGATTTTTATCATTAAAGATAAGAGCAATAGTAGGAAGAAATTGACAGCACAAGGATTAGGTGATTTCGGAAGAACCATGTTTTGGGTTAGTAACTCAAAATTTCCATGTGAAAATTTGATGGAAAGCTTGATATGATATAATATGATGCACTCCAACTCGTTTTATCAATTTGGCCAGTCGTATGGTAAGAGTAAATTTTTATCCTGATTCGTTTCAAACCCAGTACGAGTAAAAATTTGATGAAATGCTTGATATGATACGATATGATATGATGCATTCCAACAACAGGTTTCATCAATTCGGCCAGTCATACGGTAAGAGTAAATTTTTATCTTAATTCGTTCCAAACCCAGTACAAATTTGATAAAAAGATAAAGCACTCCTTGATTTGATGAAAAAAAAGTAACTCTTGCTCATTTCATATGGGTTTGATGCTATGGTTGGAGTAGAAAAAATGGGCATGTTTCATCAAATTTAAATTTGAAGTAAAGTCTGAGTAAGGGTTGGATACCCTCTAAAGAGGGGGAATATGTGATAAAATGGGAAGAAATGTAGAGAATTTTATTATCTTCAAAATGAATCTCTCCATGGAGAGAGACTGAAAAAGGCAAAAAAACATTAAATTATTTTTTGTAATACCAAAATTACCATTTAAATATAGAAGAAATAAAAATAAAAATAAGATTGTCATCTATAAAAGTTTTTTTTTTTCTTTTCTTCAAGGTGGGTGAGAAATAATTATGTTTTCTCTTATTTTCTCTCCTATTTATTTATCCAAACAGAAGGAAGAGAAAATATAATCTTTTGTCTTTTTTTCTTTTTCTCTCCTGATTTATATACTCATTTCATTTCTTTTCCCTCCTTGTTCCCAAACAGAGTGAGTGAAATTGTTCTCTCTTAAAATTAACATTTCCAAAGCCGATAATTTGGGAGAGAAAAGAAATGGGTAATTGTTAACGTATTATAATTATTGGGTTAGACTTTGAACCTGAGAAAATTTGAGGGGTCTGTGGGCTTACCACTGGTCCATTTTGATAATTTAAATCGTTTATTTTGTAGGCCTCGAGTGTATATCATTTATGAAAAAAATTAAATTGATTTGATAATCATAATCCATTCATTTTATCACATTTATTGTTGACAAAATAGATGACGACAAATATGTTTTTCAAATTAAACCATCCAAAAAAACACGGTAAAATAAAAAAAGAAAATTATGATGGATTCACCTAATTTTTTTCATGGATGACATAAATTTAAGATCCTACAAAATGAACGTTTTGGATCATCAAATCAAGACTATTGGTGAGTACCACTGGCCCCTCAAGTCTTGAGGGAAGCACAATCTTAATTTATAATATCAAAATTGTTTGGAAACTAAAACATAAAAATTTATTTTGGTAATATAACCTGTAGTAGTTTGGTTTCAGTTCTTTTATGTGGGCTATCCAAATAAGATAGGAATACCTTTTATTTTATTTTCCCTTCAATAAAACTAATATTTTCTCCTCTTTGTTTCTCTCTCTCTCTCTCTCTCTCTCTCTCTCTCTCTCTCTCTTAAATCAACAAATAATTTATTATTCCCAAACAGATTGTAAATTAGGTACTACAATCTTTTAAGTACTTGAATATAGAAATTTTAGGCTGATTTGTGGCGGTTCTAATGAAGAATTTTAACCTTGTTCAAAAAAAAAAAAAGAAAAAAAGGAAGAAATTTAACAATAGTCTGGGTCTTTATCTCGATTTGTTCCCAAGTTTCACGTGGTCAATGACTTGCTTGTTTCTTCATTACGCATCAGTGAGTCATCCTTCTGTTTATTAATCCTTTTAGAAAACATTTTTGGCTTTTCTGTTTTAATTGAGTCATGTGAGCACTGGCTGTGCTGCTGGTATTTTCCTTGCCAAAGAGCAGATGGTGGAGTTGTTGACTGCTATGTGCTATGGTAAAGTATTGTTAAGGGCTATGATTGGAAAAATAAATTCAGCGGACAGACAGAAATATAAAGAGGGAGAGAGATTTTTTACATGTCTTGATGTCACTAGAACTGTGGAAGGCAATGAGCTGGTGACTACTTGATCAGGGCAATGATGACATGAGAACAAAAGGATAGGAGAGAGAGAGAGAGAGAGAATTTTTAGGACATGATTATTTGTTTAATTAAAAAGCATAAAAGAGGGAAACTGGCAAAAAAATCAAACAACTCCTCATCAAATTTCTCCTCATCAAATTTTCTCGACATCAAATTTCTCCTCATCAAATTTTCTCCTCATCAAATTTTTGTGTTCCAAACATCTGTTATGCTAGCTGTTGGATTTTTTTTTTCTTCTCTCTGTTCACATTTTTTTTTGTCTATTCAAAATTTTGTAATGCACACATGTAATGCACTCTAAAAATAGCAAACAAGGTCATAGACAAAGAAGTGGATGAAGATGGAAGAACAGACTATGGAAGAACCATTTGCAGTAAAAACAATAACAGGAGAAGAGGAAGAAACATAATTACTTTGAGTGGATAAGTTAGGTGTCTTGTAATGAGAGGAGTCGGAATCTAATATCCATGCAGTGGGTTAGAGACCAGATGCATAGGAACCTTGCAAACCTGGATGCATAAAGGACATTGTAGAAACATAGGACGAAGTTAAGGAAAAAGATACAAGCATAGGCTGTAACTGCTCAATCATAGGCCGCACTGAGGAAGGTGAAACATTGCTTGAGCTAGGAACTGTAAATTTAAGACACATAATTATTCCAATGTCCTTCCTAACGACACAAACTTCACATGTCAAAAGCGACATGAGGTTTTGACATTCCTGTAACCCGAGTGAGATAAGCAGATGAAGTGGTTAACAGTGGAGGCTGAATGTGTGTCTTGGTGTCCTCATACATGTCTAGATAATAGAAGAAATCCAAGTTAAAGTTCCTTGGGTCGTGCTGAGCTGTGGCAAATGTAGTCTGAATTGCTTTCAACTAGTCTGAATTTGAATTGCAGATCCACTGGTGTGTGATTAATGCTGGCCATAGATGGGTTGTATTGGGGCGGGTCAGAGCTTTGATTCAGACAGTTTGTGCGAACAAAGGAGGCTGTGATGTGAACGATGTAGAGAACAACTTGATGGATTTGATTCAATTCAAGAGAAGAAATTCCCACTGAGGTTGCCACTAGTTTGCGATGGTGATGCACTGGAACGGAAGAAGAACCAGATGATACCTCGAAGAGAAAGAGAGAGTAGGTTTGAGATGGTGATCCAACATGGTATGAGAAGAACAAAACCCTAAAGACTGAACTACTCCTATATTAAATACTTCTATAACTTAACCAAAATACATTTCTCGTATCCAATTTACACTAAGTCTTTTCTCAAGCTTCTATGGTTTTTAGGTGAGCCAATGGAGCAGCCAATTGGGTGGCGGTTTCAGCCAAGTATGGATTGTTACTTCTTGTCTGGTCTTTCATTTTACCATCCCTGATCATCTGAGAGAGATTTTGGAGCTTGATCTCCCAGGCTGTGAAGTGGGATAGTTTTCATTTTTAGCGTCGATGTTCCAACTTGCTTTGCTGTTCTGTTTTAGTATTTTCTTTTTTTTTTCCCCCCCCTCACCTGATGTTGCTTGGACCAAAAAAATGGTAAGAATTTATTATATTGTCAAATATAAATAAACTAAGAATTTCTTAGAAAAATCTAATCCAATGTTTGAACTAATTTCTGCTGAAATTAGAATTTGGTCATTCCTGATAGGATTCATTTCGTTCTCATTGTATTTTTCTTCGTTTGTTTCTAGTCATTATGCAGCTTTGTGGCGCTGTACATTATCTGAGTTTGTAAGTTCCGTAGGGAAAAGGTTTGGTGAAGTTTTGTCGATGGGAAGTGTTGCTTGTCTCATTATTAGAAGCTCTCTCTCTCTCTCTCTCTCCCCGTGTATGTGTATATGTGTTTCTCTCATATGCCTATTTGTGAATGGAGGTTACCTTCTACATGTTTCTTTTCTTTATGTTTTAATGTTTCGATGAATTGGTTTGCAGAGAATCCAATGAAGAGACCTAAGAGTATTGTTGATGTTGGATGTGGAGTTGGAGGCAGTTCTAGATATCTAGCTAGGAAATATGAGGCCCAATGCCAAGGCATCACCCTGAGCCCCGTCCAAGCCCAAATGGCTGAAGGTCTTGCTGCTTCCCAAGGATTAGTCAACAAGGTTTGTGTGAGCTTTATTATGCTTTCCACTTTCCAGCTGGTTTTTGAAAATGAGCAAGGGAAGGTAATGGAAACCCTTAGTGTACCTAAATTTCAGTTGACCTCAGTCTATGAGATTATTGTATCTCGCCTACCTCCATGGAGTATATGTTGTCTGCATCATTTAAATTATTCGTTTTATGAAATCTCACTTATCTCTTGGAGTAGATGTTATCTGCATCATTTAAATTATTCTGTTGAAATTTGGTTGGTGCATGGGTTTGAAAATTCCATTTGGTCCTAGTTAAGAGTATAGTTTATCATTCTTTCACTATCTTAGAATAGGGGAAGAAAACTATTGCATGGAATAAGCAATGCTCACCCGAGCCTCAGGGGAGGTTGATATTTTCAAGTATTTCTGTGGGACATTTCTGATTGCCATGCTACAATTATGACACAGAAAATCAATCAACCCCATAAGATTTGTCATAGAATGCCTTCTTTGAAAGATAAAATTCAGTTATCTGAACTGTTGTTATCTTGGTGTGGGGGAAAAAATCACTATGGCAATTATGATTATTCATTTCATTGCAGGTGCACATATAATCTGTGGTTTAATTGTTCAATTATATTGATTTTAGTTTGTCACTGGTTTTTCTTAGACACATCTGATGGAACTCATTGAGAAAATGGTTCCTGTCTCTATTTTATTTTATTTTTGGTGAATTACACTAACAGTCCCTATAGTTTGGTGTTTGTGTCACTTTGGTCAAAATCATCAAAAATATTAATCTCACGGGCAAAATCATCAATTTGATAAAATATAAACTAATTTGACAAAAATAAATGTCAAAATTTTTTTTTGAATTTTTAAAAATTATTTTTATCCACTAAAGATAAAATTATGTAAAGTTGATAAATCTTTTAGACATTTATTTATTTTACCAATTTTTTTTTTTCTATTATGTGTTTGGATGATGATCATGTAATGGCCCATTTGGGGTCGGGATCGGGGATCCCCGTCGGGCCGGTTTCAAATTGCCATCATTACTAATGGGCGATCGTTTTTATTTTCATTAAATTAGTTTTCATTTTTTCAAAAATCAAATATGGAGACAATTTTTATATCATTGTTAAACCAATCCATTAAATCAAAAAAATCAAAACTAAAAACATTTAATATATTAAATATATTGATTACACATTAAAATCTTAATAACCATCTATTACATGATATCATATCAATCATATAATAAAAATTAATTTAGTAAATAAATAATAAATATCTAAAAGATTTATTAATTTTACATAATTTTATCTTTGGTGGGCAGAAAAATTTTTAAAATTCAAAAATATTTTTTTTGACATTTATGTTTGTCAAATTAGTTTATATTTTATCAAATTGATGATTTTGCCCTTGAAATTAAGCAATGGTATATTCAATTGTCCTTATTTGAAACAGATTCGAAATTCATGGTCAAATGTGTCACAATTAAAAAGTGAAAGATCAAAATGACAGGAGCCCCAAACTATAGGGACTGGTAGTGTACTTCGCTCATTTATTTTCTTGACTTTAGACAATAAATGCTAGCCATGGATGGTTTTGTGTGACCAAGGTGAACGATTTGCAGGTTTCCTTCCAAGTTGCAGATGCTTTAAATCAACCATTTCCTGATGCACAATTTGATCTGGTATGGTCCATGGAGAGTGGAGAACACATGCTGACAAAGCAAAGGTTCTTTATCTCTCACTCTTACTCCTCTGTTACTACGATCGATACTTCAAATCCAAGTCATCAAACCTAAGTTTTTGATTTTTGTACTGCTTTTATGGGTATTTGATTTGGTTGCTCACATTATAACTCTCTCATACTGATAGTTCGTTATGAGTTGGCTCGAGTAGCAGCACCTGGAGGTACGATTATAATAGTAACTTGGTGCCATAGGGACCTCTCCCCTTCTGAGGAATCTTTGCGGCCGGATGAGACGGCTCTATTGAAGAAGATTTGTGATGCTTATTATCTTCCGGCCTGGTGTTCTACTTCTGATTATGTAAAATTACTTCAATCCCTCTCTCTTGAGGTATTAATTTCTTCAGTTGACCAATCTTTATATATATATATATATATATATATTTATCAGCGACAAAAGAAATTTATTAAAAAAGTGAGCAAGTACATGAAGTCCACCAAAATTAAGATAAAAGAAAAACCATGAATCTCATACTCATGACAGTCCAATCTCTATAAATTCAAACATGATACTTCTATACATGGTCTTATATATACCTGACTCTCTTATTTTCTGGTTTTCATGTCCTGTCATAATTGGATATGTGTGTCGAAAAATAGTCAACCTAACTCCCTAATAGATTAATCTGAGTATCCAAGCAATATGATTTTTTGACTGCACGGCTATTGCTTATATATATATATATATATGTATGTATGCAGACGAACGAATTCGTGATGAACTTTCTCGTGGCAGGATATCAAGGCAGAGGATTGGTCTGAGCATGTTGCCCCATTTTGGCCGGCTGTTATAAGGTCAGCATTGACATGGAACGGCTTCATATCATTGCTGCGAAGTGGTAGGTTGTTTTATGGAATGCATTTGGTATCTTGTTGTTGCCACTTTCTTTGTGCTTTGTTTTACATTCCTGACTGGATAACTTGATCAGGATGGAAAACCATAAAAGGGGCGTTGGTGATGCCATTGATGATCCAAGGATATAGGAAGGGTTTAATCAAGTTCGCTATCATCACATGTCGAAAACTGAATAATTACGAAAAGATAAAGAAAGATGTGCGACAACAAAGAGGCAAGGAGACCAATCATGGATGTTTTGGCTACCGTTACTCAGGTGGTATGTAATAATTGTAGTCCTATCACTTAATTCTATACTCATCTCTTTGAACCTCGTAGAGGCCCACCGGATTCTGGTAGACATAAGGTCCGGTTTTGTAGTGAATAAAATTAAGACTTGAACGATCAAAATGAAACATAGGTGTATTTTTGTTCTTGTTGTGCTAGTAGTTATCTCTCTTCTTGCTGCTCGATTGATCCACTAAGAGATCAACATCTCTCATATATAAGTTTTATTTGGTGGTTCCGGAGCACTATGTGATCGTGTCCTAAGCAATAGGGGATATGTTAATATTTTTTATAGAAAAATAAGAACAAAATTAACATTGGAACATTTTAATTTTATAATTTTTTGCACAGCCATATACGCTATTTTCTTCTTTTTAAGCCCATATATATTAAATTCACATATATATTTGTAACCAAGCCCTAAGTTTTCATTGCAACACCTCCAAATCAACCTCTTTCTTAGGAATTATTGAAATAACTTCGTTAAATATATTAATAAATCAATGCCATGGCAAATCATGTGAACAGGATGAATGCCTCACAATCAATTGAGAATGGTTGTATTAATTTCATTACCACAGCCTCCAGCTGAATACTAAGGCTCATTGCCTTAAAAAGAAAGAGCCTTTAAATTAAGTTTACGAATCATTAGACAAGTCACAACAATAAAGCTTTCTTCCGAAGATGTAATTACCAAGACGACCCTCACTTCCCTTTTGTTTTATCTTTAGCCTTTTATTTTAGCTTTGAAAAATTAAAATTAGACCAGCGGTAACTTCGCATGTTCTTCGGTGTCCCATGAAAAAAAATAAAAAATAAAAATAAAAAAATAGACATGTCATATGGCATGTCTCATATACTTGTTCTAGCATGTCTCTGCCATCTCTGTATCCTATACGTGTCTGACACGACTACAGTACCTATGTTGAAGTGTCGGTGCTTTCATAGTCGACGACAAAGAAAATGAAAGATGTCGGTGCTTCATAGTCGACGACAAGAAAATGAAAAGAACTGAAGAAAAAGCCAAAGAGAAATGGACTACATAGAAAAGAGAAATAGATGTAATAAAGAAACCAACAAGAATGTGTGACCAAAGGAGAACAGTCGCCATTTCCTTTCTACAAAAAGTAAATTCAGATATATTATCTATCCCCTTTGTTGTCACAAACCCAAAAACTATATAAATAATAAATAATAAAATACTAAACCTTCCCAACCAGAAAATGGCAAACACAACCAAACCAAACCAAGCATTAAGTCCCATCAAATGGGGTCGGCTACATGAATCTTCTTCTCCACGCGGCCCTATCAAAGGCCATTTCATTAGTCAAATTAAGTAGATTCATATCTCTATTTATAACGCTAGTCAACGTTAATCTAGGCCTACCCCGTCCCTAAGACTTCCATCTACCGTTACAACATCGCATTTCTTCACTACTGCCTCTGTTGGTCTCCGTTGAATATGACCAAACCATCTCAAATGATTCTCTCTCAACTTATCTTCTATCGGTGCTACTCCTACCCATTCCCGAATACACTCATTCCTAATCCTATCTTGTCTAGTCTTACCACACATCCACCTTAACATTCTCATCTCAGCCACACTCATCTTATTTACATGTTGTTTCTTAGTTGCCCAACATTCCGTCCCATACAACATAGCTGGTCTAATAGCCGTTCTATAAAACTTACCTTTTAGTCTAGTGGGTATTTGTTTATCGCACAATACTCCAGACGCACTTCTCCACTTACACCATCTGCCTTAATCCTATGGGCCACATCCGCATCAATCTCTCCCGTTGTTGTGATAATCGACCCTAAATAACAAAAAATGTTACTCTTAGGCAGTTCTTGGTTCTCAATCTTCACTTCTCCTCTGCTTTCATTGTTACTGTTACTAAAATTACACTCCATGTACTCTGTCTTACTTCTGCTTATCCGGAATCCTTTAGATTCAAGAGCTTTTCTCCAAATCTCCAACTTTGTGTTAATTCCTTCTCTAGTCGCATCTACTAACACAATATCGTCTACAAAAAGCATACACCACGGTACGTTACCTGATATTTTATCGCCAACTCGTCATAACTAAGCAAAAAGATAAAGACTTAAGGTAGATCCTTGGTGTAACCCTACAGTGATAGGAAATTCATTTGTCTCTCCAGCTGGCGATCTAATGTGGTCACACACAAGCACACGCACGCACAGAGAGGGGTTCTTTTTTTTTTTCCATTTCTATTTAAAAAAATAATAGTTAAGGGTTACTTTACACATTTCCAGATCAATTATTCATTTTTTAGAAACACATATTTTAGAAATAAGGATATTAATAAGATTTTTTTTTTCTTCTCCTCTTTGTGGTTTTTCTTTTTGGGTTGCGGGGGAGGGGGCATATGAAAATGACTATAATCAATATTATATAGATGCAAATATATATATATATACATAATCGTTTGATAAGTGGATTGCAAAATATGTGTCACAACATATAATGTGATGATAGTTAAACATTGTCAATTGTTTAAAATTCAAAATTTTATCAACATAGGTAAATAATTAGCAATAGGATGACAATTAACAATTGTCAAATTATTGAATTCAACATGATATTCTATGCACTAAGGTAACGACTTGAGAAATGTATGTTATCATAAAATTAACTACCATCTAATTGAATCATAGCATTGCAATATCATTAAATATTGGATATTGAGTAGCGGGCATACGTCTATCAATTTTGACAAAAGACCAAGCACAAAAACAAGTTTAAACTAAACAACACAAAGAACTCCAATTTATCCAAGGGATTCAGTTTATGGTATTAACACAACTTCATAGAGTACGAAGAAATAATTTAGAGGCAGAGTCATAAAGCTCCACAACCTTGTGAGTTGGTCCAAAGCAAGCCGAGGCATATCTGTGGGAGCTAGAAAAAAACATATATAGATTTATTGGATTAACCCAAACAAGGCCTACAATGGGTCCAAGCCAAAACAAATATCACACCCTATTCTATATTAGGGGGAGGGAGGATCCCAGAAGAGAGGGATGTCATATCTTCTACACTAGACACCAACACTCTTCATTTCTATATCTTCATTTTGTCAATCAAGAAATTAACTTCACCATCGAGTTTCTCCGGCTAGCAGTCCTAGTTGGGGTGGCGTCGATTATACTCATCTTTGCAGATCTACAGGGACAAAGTTCATCTCTTCGTCGGATCTCTACAATCCATGTAAAAGGATTTTCATGGTCTCACAATTGCGCCGTCTATGGGAACGACTGAATGAGATCAAGAAGAACACAACAAACATAAACTTGTAAGTAAACATGTACTGGTTTGTTGGTGATAATTACTAATAAATACTAAAAATTACAATAACTATTGAAAGGGCTAAGGCGCGAGAAATTCGCTCTCTTTAAGGAGATTCAAGCTCTTTGTAGTTAGGAAACGCTCACACCGTGTGCATAGAAAAACTTGACTTATCCCCACAAGATACAATAGCCCGACTAAGTTGTATGGTTCACCAATACTACAATTGGTTGAATCAAACTTCATCACATATACTCTTTATTTCTTTGCTTGATAATCTCTCAAATACAAACTCCAGATTTCTCTCTCCCTTGAGTAGTTTTTTTTTTTTTTTTTTTGGGGGGGGTGAGCTACCAAATAAGAGAGGTGAAAGGCTCATTTATAAGCAGGATATTGGAGAGAAAGAAAAGACTTGACTTAGAGGCAAAGACTTGGAGAAAAGAAAGATTTGACTTAACTTAACTTAGAGGCAAAGACTTGAGAGAAAGAAAGACTTAACTTAAAGGCAAAGACTTGGAGAGAAAGAAAAGAAACTTGAAAGGGAAAGAAAGGTAGCTTAGAGAAAGCACAAATATAATCTATAATATTATAATATTAAAAATTGCTAACATTCCCCCACCTTATTTAATATTATGGCAACAAAATCTGAAATTATTAGGCAAAAGAAGAATATTATGCATCGGTAAGTGTGCTCTGCATTGAACCTCCATTAGTAAACAGTAATATCTACTCCAGAGTCAATAGTATGCTAACATTGAACTATGACATGCTTAAGGGAAATATAATTATTATACACCATAATATTCAGGTGTTCACATAAGCTTTAATAGCCACTACAGCCTTGTGGCGCTCCCAGGATTCATGAGTGTGTTTGAGAATTAGCTCAATCTCAGAGTAGCGCCCCACTAACATACTCACATAGGTGAATTCTATAGGGTGCTCCTGTACTATTGACACCCACTCAAATAAGAGCTACAAAAATTCATTAAGAGTTTTTTTAGTTTTTTTTTAATATACTCAACTCTACAATGGTTATCCGCGGATAAATGTACTTACAATCATAGGGATGGGTTAAAATTAATTTTCGTGTAATTTCTACGGCCATCATATGATCGCTATATTCTTATTGAACACAATTACAGGATCTCTGGTCCTAGGTTGGGTATCCTCATAGAATTTATTAAAATGTGAGCAAGTACATGAAGTCCACCAAAATTAAGATAAAAAGGGAAAAAAGGAAGAAAAACCATGAATCTCATACTCATTGACAGTCCAAATCTCTATAAATTCAAACATGGATATTCTATACATGGTCTTATATATACTGACTCTCTTATTTTTTGGGTTTTCATTCCTGTCATAATTGGGATATGTGTCGAAAAATAGTCAACCTAACTCGCCTATAGATTAATCGAGTATTCCAAGAATATGATTTTTTGACTGCACGGCTATTGCTTATTATATATATATATATATGTATGTGATGCAAGACGACGAATTCGTGATGAACTTTCTCGTGCAGATAGTCAAGGCAGAGATTGGTCTGAGATGTTGCCCCATTTTGGCCGGCTTTATAAGGTCAGCATTGACATGAACGGCTTCATATCCATTGCCTGCGAAGTGGTAGGTTTTTTTATGGAATGCATTGTATCTTGTGTTGCCACTTTTTTTGTGCTTTGTTTTACATCCTGATGATAACTGATCAGGATGGAAAACCATAAAAAGGGGCGTTGGTTGATGCATTGATGATCCAAGGCATATAGGAAGGGTTTAATCAAGTTCCGCTATCATCACATGTCGAAACCTGAATAATTACGAAGAGATAAAGAAAGATGTGCGACACAAAGAGGCAAGGAGACAATCATGGATGTTTTGGCTTACGTTACTCAGGTGGTATTGTTAATAATTGTAGTCCTACACTTAATTCTTACTCATCTCTTTGAACCCGTAGAGGACCCACCGGATTCCTGGAGACATAAAGGTCAGGTTTTGTAGTGAATAAAATTAAGACTTGAACGAATCAAAATGAACAAGGTGTATTTTGTTCTTGTTGTGCCTAGTAGTTAACTCTCTTCTTGCTGCTCGATTGATCCACTAAGAGATCAACATCTCTCATTATATAAGTTTTATTTGGTGGTTCCGGAGCACTATGTGAATCGTGTCTAAGCAATAGGGATATGTATATTTTTTATAGAAAAATAAGAAACAAAATTAACATTGGAACATTTTAATTTATAATTTTTTGCAAAGCCATATACGCTATTTTTTCTTTCTTAAGCCCATATATTATTAAAATTCAAATATATTTGAACCAAGCCCTAAGTTTTCATGCAACACCTCCAAATAACCTCTTTCTTAGGAATTATGAAATAACTCGTTAAATATATTAATAATCAATGCCGATGGAAATCATGTGAACAGGAATAATGCCTCAAATCAATTGAGAATGTTTGATTAATTCATTACCACAGCCTCCAGCGAATACTAAGGCTTCATTGCCATTAAAAGAAAGAGCCTTTTAATTAAGTTACGAATCATTAGACAAGTCACAAACAAATAAAGCTTTCTTTCCGAAGTAATTACCAAGACGACCCCTCACTTCCCTATCTTGTCTTTATCTTTAGCCTTTTATTTTGCTTTGAAAAATTAAAAATTAGACAGCGGTAAAACTTCGCATTGTTCTTGGCCGTGTCCCATGAAAAAAAAATAAAAATTATAAAAAATAAAAAATAGAACATGTCATATTGGCCATGTCTCATTACTTGTTTCTAGCATGTCTCTGCCATCTCTGTATCCTATACGTTCTGAAACGACTACAGTACTATGTTGAAGTGTCGGTGCCTTCGATAAGTTCGACGACAAAAGAAATGAAAAGATGTAAAACGGTGCTTCATAGTCGACGACAAAGAAAATGAAAAGAACTGAAGAAAAAAAGCCAAAGAGAAATGGATACACATAGAAAAGAGGAAATAGATGTAATAAAGAACCCAACAGAATGTCTGACAAAAGGAGAATCAGTCGCCATTTCCTTTCTTACAAAAAGTAATTCAGATATGATTTATCTATCCCTTTGTTTTCACAAACCCAAACTATATAAATAATAAATAAATAAAAACTAACCTTCCCAACCAGCAATAATGGCAAAACACAACCAAACCAAACCAAGCATTAAGTCCCATTCAAATGGGTCGGCTACATGAATTCCTTCTTCTCCACGGGCCCTATCAAAGGCCATTTCATTAGTCAAATTAAGTAGATCATTCTCTATTATAACGCTAGTCAACGATTTAATCTAGGGCCTACCCGTCCCCTAAGACTTCCATCTACCGTTACAACATCGCATTTCTTCACTACTGCCTCTGTTGCGTCTCCGTGAATATGACCAAAACCATCTCAAATGATTCTCTCTCAAACTTATCTTCTATCGGTGCTACTCCTACCCATTCCCGAATACACTCGATTCCAATCCTATCTTGTCTAGTCTTACCACACATCCACCTTTAACATTCTCATCTCAGCACACTCATCTTATTTACTGTTGTTTTCTTAAGTGCCCAACATTCCGTCCCATACAACATAGCTGTCTAATAGCCGTTCTATAAACTTACCTTTAGTCTAGTGGGTATTTTTTGTTTATCGCACAATACTCCAGACCACTTCTCCACTTACACCATCATCCCTTATGCTATGGCCACATCCGCATCAATCTCTCCCGTGTTGTGATAATCGACCTAAATAACGAAAATGTTCACTCTAGGCGAGTCTTGGTTCTCAATCTTACTTCTTCCTTGCTTTCATTGTTACTGTTACTAAATTATACACTCCACTGTACCTCTGTCTTACTTCTGCTTATCCGGAATCCTTTAGATTCAGAGCTTTTCTCCAAATCTCCAACTTTCTCTGAGTTTGTAAGTTCCGTAGGGAAAAGGTTTGGTGAAGTTTTGTCGATGGGAAGTGTTGCTTGTCTCATTATTAGAAGCTCTCTCTCTCTCTCTCTCTCTCTCCCCCGTGTATGTGTATATGTGTTCTCTCATATGCCTATTTGTGAATGGAGGTTACCTTCTACAGTTCTTTTCTTTTATGTTTTAATGTTTCGATGAATTGGTTTGCAGGAGAATCCAATGAAGAGACCTAAGAGTATTGTTGATGTTGGATGTGGAATTGGAGGCAGTTCTAGATATCTAGCTAGGAAATATGAGGCCCAATGCCAAGGCATCACCCTGAGCCCCTCCAAGCCCAAATGGCTGAAGGTCTTGCTGCTTCCCAAGGATTAGTCAACAAGGTTTGTGTGAGCTTTATTATGCTTTCCACTTTCCAGCTGTTTTTCGAAAATGAGCAAGGGAAGGTAATGGAAACCCTTAGTGTACCTAATTTCAGTTGACCTCCAGTCTATGAGATTATTGTATCTCGCCTACCCTCATGGAGTATATGTTGTCTGCATCATTTAAATTATTCGTTTTATGAAATCTCACTTATCTCTTGGAGTAGATGTTATTTCGCATCATTTAAATTATTCTGTTGAAATTTGGTTGGTGCATGGGTTTTGAAAATTCCATTTGGTCCTGTTAAGAGTATAGTTTATCATTCTTTCACTATCTTAGAATAGGGGAAGAAAAATATTGCATGGAATAAGCAATGCTCACCCGAGCCTCAGGGAGGTGATATTTTCAAGTATTTCTGTGGGAATTTCTGATTGCCATGCTACAATTATGACAGAAAATCAATCAACCCCATAAGATTTGTCATAGAATGCCTTCTTTGAAAGATAAAATCAGTTATCTGAACTGTTGTTATCTTGGTGTGGGGGAAAAAATCACTATGGCAATTATGATTATTCATTTCATTGCAGGTGCACATATAATCTGTGGTTTAATTGTTCAATTATATTGATTTTAGTTTGTCACTGGTTTTTCTTAGCACTGCATCTGAGAAATGGTTCCTGTCTTTATATTTATTTTTGGTGAATTACACTAACAGTCCCTATAGTTTGGGTTGTGTCACTTTGGTCAAAATCATCAAAAATATTAATCTCACGGGCAAAATTATCAATTTGATAAAATATAAACTAATTTGACAAAAATAAATGTCACAATTTTTTTTTTTGAATTTTTAAAAATTATTTTATCCACTAAAGATAAAATTATGTAAAGTTGATAAATCTTTTAGACATTTATTTATTTTACCATTTTTTTTTTTTTTTTTTTTTTGAGTTATTACTCACAAATTTTAAAATATAATAGATTTTATATGTACACATAATTTTTTTTATTATATAAATATAGTTTTTATTTTTTCAAAAATCAAATATGGAGACAATTTTTATATCATTGTTAAACCAATCCATTAAATCAAAAAAATCAAAACTAAAAACATTAATATATTCAATATATTGATTACACATTAAAATCTTAATAACCATCTATTACATGATCATCATTCAATCATATAATAAAAATTAATTTAGTAAAATAAATAAATAAATATCTAAAAGATTTATTAATTTTACATAATTTTATCTTTGGTGGGCAGAAATAATTTTTAAAAATTCAAAAATATTTTTTTGACATTTATGTTTGTCAAATTAGTTTATATTTTATCAAATTGATGATTTTGCCCTTGAAATTAAGCAATGGTATATTCAATTGTCCTTATTTGAAACAAGATTCGAAATTCATGGTCAAATGTGTCACAATTAAAAAGTGAAAGATCAAAATGACAGGAGCCCCAAACTATAGGGACTGGTAGTGTACTTCGCTCATTTATTTTCTTGACTTTAGACAATAAATGCTAGCCATGGATGGTTTTGTGTGACCAAGGTGAACGATTTGCAGGTTTCCTTCCAAGTTGCAGATGCTTTAAATCAACCATTTCCTGATGCACAATTTGATCTGGTATGGTCCATGGAGAGTGGAGAACACATGCCTGACAAAGCAAAGGTTCTTTATCTCTCACTCTTACTCCTCTGTTACTACGATCGATACTTTAAATCCAAGTCATCAAACCTAAGTTCTTGATTTTTGTACTGCTTTTATGGGTATTTGATTTGGTTGTCTCACATTATACTCTCTCATACTGATAGTTCGTTAATGAGTTGGCTCGAGTAGCAGCACCTGGAGGTACGATTATAATAGTAACTTGGTGCCATAGGGACCTCTCCCCTTCTGAGGAATCTTTGCGGCCAGATGAGACGGCTCTATTGAAGAAGATTTGTGATGCTTATTATCTTCCGGCCTGGTGTTCTACTTCTGATTATGTAAAATTACTTCAATCCCTCTCTCTTGAGGTATTAACTTCTTCAGTTGACCAATATTTTATATATAGAGGTATTAATTTCTTCAGTTGACCAATCTTTTATATATATATATATATATATATTTATCAGCGACAAAAGAAATTTATTAAAAAAGTGAGCAAGTACATGAAGTCCACCAAAATTAAGATAAAAGAAAAACCATGAATCTCATACTCATGACAGTCCAATCTCTATAAATTCAAACATGATACTTCTATACATGGTCTTATATATACCTGACTCTCTTATTTTCTGGGTTTTCATGTCCTGTCATAATTGGATATGTGTCGAAAAATAGTCAACCTAACTCCCTAATAGATTAATCTGAGTATCCAAGCAATATGATTTTTTGACTGCACGGCTATTGCTTATATATATATATATATATGTATGTATGCAAGACAACGAATTCGTGATGAACTTTCTCGTGGCAGGATATCAAGGCAGAGGATTGGTCTGAGCATGTTGCCCCATTTTGGCCGGCTGTGATAAGGTCAGCATTGACATGGAACGGCTTCATATCATTGCTGCGAAGTGGTAGGTTGTTTTATGGAATGCATTTGGTATCTTGTTGTTGCCACTTTCTTTGTGCTTTGTTTTACATTCCTGACTGGATAACTTGATCAGGATGGAAAACCATAAAAGGGGCGTTGGTGATGCCATTGATGATCCAAGGATATAGGAAGGGTTTAATCAAGTTCGCTATCATCACATGTCGAAAACCTGAATAATTACGAAAGAGATAAAGAAAGATGTGCGACAACAAAGAGGCAAGGAGACCAATCATGGATGTTTTGGCTACCGTTACTCAGGTGGTATGTAATAATTGTAGTCCTATCACTTAATTCTATACTCATCTCTTTGGAACCTCGTAGAGGCCCACCGGATTCTGGTAGACATAAGGTCCGGTTTTGTAGTGAATAAAATTAAGACTTGAACGATCAAAATGAAACATAGGTGTATTTTTGTTCTTGTTGTGCTAGTAGTTATCTCTCTTCTTGCTGCTCGATTGATCCACTAAGAGATCAACATCTCTCATATATAAGTTTTATTTGGTGGTTCCGGAGCACTATGTGATCGTGTCCTAAGCAATAGGGGATATGTTAATATTTTTTATAGAAAAAATAAGAACAAAATTAACATTGGAACATTTTAATTTTATAATTTTTTGCACAGCCATATACGCTATTTTCTTCTTTCTTAAGCCCATATATATTAAATTCACATATATATTTGTAACCAAGCCCTAAGTTTTCATTGCAACACCTCCAAATCAACCTCTTTCTTAGGAATTATTGAAATAACTTCGTTAAATATATTAATAAATCAATGCCATGGCAAATCATGTGAACAGGATGAATGCCTCACAATCAATTGAGAATGGTTGTATTAATTTCATTACCACAGCCTCCAGCTGAATACTAAGGCTCATTGCCTTAAAAAGAAAGAGCCTTTAAATTAAGTTACGAATCATTAGACAAGTCACAACAATAAAGCTTTCTTCCGAAGATGTAATTACCAAGACGACCCTCACTTCCCTTTTGTTTTATCTTTAGCCTTTTATTTTAGCTTTGAAAAATTAAAATTAGACCAGCGGTAACTTCGCATGTTCTTGCCGTGTCCCATGAAAAAAAATAAAAATAAAAAATAAAAAAATAGACATGTCATATGGCATGTCTCATATACTTGTTCTAGCATGTCTCTGCCATCTCTGTATCCTATACGTGTCTGACACGACTACAGTACCTATGTTGAAGTGTCGGTGCTTCATAGTCGACGACAAAGAAAATGAAAAGAAGTGTCGGTGCTTCATAGTCGACGACAAAGAAAATGAAAAGAACTGAAGAAAAAGCCAAAGAGAAATGGACTACATAGAAAAGAGGAATAGATGTAATAAAGAAACCCAACAAGAATGTGTGACCAAAGGAGAATCAGTCGCCATTTCCTTTCTACAAAAAGTAAATTCAGATATATTATCTATCCCCTTTGTTGTCACAAACCCAAAAACTATATAAATAATAAATAAATAAAATACTAAACCTTCCCAATCAGAATAATGGCAAACACAACCAAACCAAACCAAGCCTTAAGTCCCATCAAATGGGATCGGCTACATGAATCTTTCTTCTCCACGCGGCCCTATCAAAGGCCATTTCATTAGTTAAATTAAGTAGATTCATATCTTTATTTATAACGCTAGTCAACGTTAATCTAGGCCTATCCCGTTCCCTAAGACTTCCATCTACCGTTACAGCATCGCATTTCTTCACTACTGCCTCTGTTGGTCTCCGTTGAATATGACCAAACCATCTCAAACGATTCTCTCTCAACTTATCTTCTATCGGTGCTACTCCTACCCATTCCCGAATACACTCATTCCTAATCCTGTCTTGTCTAGTCTTACCACACATCCACCTTAACATCCTCATCTCAGCCACACTCATCTTATCTACATGTTGTTTCTTAGTTGCCCAACACTCCGTCCCATACAACATGGCTGGTCTAATAGCCGTTCTATAAAACTTACCTTTTAGTCTAGTGGGTATTCGTTTATCGCACAATACTCCAGACGCACTTCTCCACTTACACCATCCCGCCTTAATCCTATGGGCCACATCTGCATCAATCTCTCCCGTTGTTGTGATAATCGACCCTAAATAACGAAAATGTTCACTCTTAGGCAGTTCTTGGTTCTCAATCTTCACTTCTCCTCTGCTTTCATTGTTACTGTTACTAAATTTACACTCCATGTACTCTGTCTTACTTCTGCTTATTCGGAATCCTTTAGATTCAAGAGCTTTTCTCCAAATCTCTAACTTTGTGTTAATTCCTTCTCTAGTCTCATCTACTAATACAATATCGTCTGCAAAAAGCATACACTACGGTACGTCATCCTGAATATTTATCGCCAACTCGTCCATAGCAAAAAGATAAAGACTTAAGGTAGATCCTTGGTGTAACCCTACAGTGATAGGAAATTCATTTGTCTCTCCAGCTGGCGATCTAATAGTGGTCACACACAAGCACACGCGCACGCACAGAGAGGTGGGTTCTTTTTTTTTTCCATTTCTATTTAAAAAAATAATAGTTAAGGGTTACTTTACACATTCCAGATCAATTATTCATTTTTTAGAAACACATATTTTAGAAATAAGGAATATTAATAAGATTTTTTTTTTCTTCTCCTCTTTGTGGTTTTTGCTTTTTGGGTTGCGGGGGAGGGGGCATATGAAAATGACTATAATCAATATTATATAGATTGCAAATATATATATATACATATCGTTTGATAAGTGGATTGCAAAATATGTGTGCACACATATAATGTGATGATAGTTAAACAATTGTCAAATTGTTTAAATTCAAAATTCTATCAACATAGGTAAAATAATTAGCAATAGGATGACAATTTAACAATTGTCAAATTATTTGAATTCAACATGATATTCTATGCACTAAGGTAAACGTTGAGAAATGTATGTTATCATAAAATTAACTACCATCTAATTGAATCATAGCATTGCAATATTCAAATTATATTGGATATTGAGTACGGGCATACGTCTATCAATTTTGACAAAAGACCAAGCACAAAAACAAGTTTAAAAACTAAACAAACACAAGAACTCCACATTTATCCAAGGGATTTCAGAATTTTATGGTATTAACACAACTTCATAGAGTACGAAGAAATAAATTTAGAGGCAAGAGTCATAAAGCCTCCACAAACCTTGTGAGTTGGTCCAAAGCAGCCGAGGCATATCTGTGGGAGCTAGAAAAAAACATATATCAGTTTATTGGGATTAACCCAAACAAGGCCTACAATGGGTCCAGTCCAAACAAATATCACACCCCCTATCTATATTAGGGGGAGGGGAGGATCCCAGAAGAGAGGGTATGTCATATCTTTCTACACTAGACACCAACACTCTTCATTTCTATATCTTCATTTTGTCAATCAAGTAATTAACTTCACCATCGGAGTTTCTCCGGCTAGCAGTCCTAGTTGGGTGGCGTCGATTATGCTCATCTTTGCAGATCTACAGGGACAAAGTTCATCTCTTCGTCGGATCTCTACAATCCATGTAAAAGGATTTTCATGGTCTCACAATTGGCGCCGTCTATGGGAACGACTGAATGAGATCAACGAAGAACACAACAAACATAATACTGTAAGTAAACATGTACTGGTTTGTTGGTGATAATTACTAATAAAATACTAAAAATTACAATAACTATTGAAAGGGTTAAGGCGCGAGAAATTCGCTCTCTTTAAGGAGATTCAAGCTCTTTGTAGTTAGGCAAAACCTCACACCGGTGCAATAGAAAAAACCTTGACTTATCCCCCCAAGATACAATAGCCCGACTAAGTTGTATGGTTCACCAATACTACACAATTGGTTGAATCCAAAACTTCATCACATATACTCTTTATTTCTTTGCTTGATAATCTCTTAAATACAAACTCCAGATTTCTCTCTCCCTTGAGTTAGTTTTTTTTTTTTTTTTTTTTTTTTTTTTTTGAGGGGGGGTGAGCTACAAATAAGAGAGGTGAAAGGCTCAATTTATAATCAAGGATACTTGGAGAGAAAGAAAAAGACTTGACTTAGAGGCAAAGACTTGGAGAGAAAGAAAAGATTTGACTTAACTTAACTTAGAGGCAAAGACTTGGAGAGAAAGAAAGGACTTAACTTAAAGGCAAAGACTTGGAGAGAAAGAAAAGAAAACTTGAAGGGAAAGAAAGGTAGCTTAGAGAACAAGCACACAATATAATCTATAATACATTATAATATTAAAATATCTGCTAACATTCCCCCACCTATTTTAATATTATAGGCAACAAAATCTGAAATTATTAGGCAAAGAAGAATATTATGCATCATGGTAAGTGTGCTCTGCATTGAACCTCCATTAGTGAAACAGTAATATCTACTCCAGAGTCAATAGTATGCTTAACATTGAACTATGACTGCTTAAGGGAAATAAATAATTATTGTACACACATAATATTCCAGGTGTTCACATAAGCTTTAATAGCCACTACAGCCTTGTGCGCTCCCAGGATTCATGAGTGTGTTTGAGAATTAGCTCAAATCTCAGAGCTAGCGACCCCACTAACATACTCACATAGGTGAATTCTATCAAGGGTGCTCCTGTAACTATGACACCCCACTCAATAAGAGCTACAAAAATTCATTAAGAGTTTTTTATTTTTTTTAATAACTCAACCTCTACAATGTTACCGGATAAATGTACTTACATCATAGGGATGGGTAAAAATTAATTTCGTGTATTTCTTACGGCCATCATATGATCGTTATTCTTATTGAACCCAGTTACAGGATCTCTGGTCCCTAGGTTGGGTATCCTTATACATGGCTCCTGCTACATTCAATGGGCTTCAACCCCATCCTCCTCGATGTATTCCAGACTCTATCTCTTGCTAAAGCCTTAGTTAATGGACCTGCAAGATTATCACCAGATTTAATATAATCCACATTTGTGATGTCATTATTTATATAAGATCTCACAATACTGTATTTTCTTCTGATAGATCTGGAATTACCGTTATAATAACGGTTATTAACTCGACCAATTGCTGCGGTGCTATCACAATGAATCAATATAGGTGGAATTAGTTTTTCCCAACAAGAGATTTCATTTAACAAATCTCTCAACCAATTTGCTTCTTCACTAGTTGTAGCTAAAGTAATAAGCTCAGCCTCCATTGTTGAATTAGCAATAATAGTTTGTTTTTTTTATTTCCAACTTATAGCACCACCTCCCAAGGTAAATAAGTAACCAATGGTTGATAATAAATCACCTGACAAGATATTCTAATCGGCATCACTAAAACCTTTAAGTACTGTAGGATACTTACTATAAAACAAGCCATATTTTATGGTACCAGATAAATATTTCATAATCCACTCAATGGCTAGCCAGTGATCATTGTCAGGCTTGCTAGTAAACCTCCTAAGTACTCCAACTGCATAGGCAATGTCA